TCAATTCCCATTTCTGTCTAAAACAGACCTCAAGGTCAAGGCATGACTAATATGAAACATTATGTGAAATAAGGACTACATTTACATAGCTGATCGGTCAGAAAATATGTGAAATATGAGTTCACAAATGCAAATAATTACATCTAAGGGACCTATGAAATATAACTAAGAAATGCAGTGTAAGTGTAGCGGTTTTGTTCATGTATATACACATCCAAGCCTTCTACAAGGCTTATACTCCAAAAAATATCTCTCCCTTCTGGAAAATAATTAAAAGGTTCACAAATCAAAAAAATATGAGAACTAAAGAGTATCTAAAGCATAGTTTCAGTAAGAAATTTTAGATTGAAAGATTTTTTCAGAAAAAAAAATCTCTACAAATATGGAAACACATTTCACTGTATACAGAACTGGCTGGAATATTTTCTCTAAAGCAACAACAGAAAAGAGGCCATGTGAACTGAAAAATCTCTTTGAATCTCAGACCAAAAACTGCTGAACATATACTAACTAAAGTCAGACATCCATGCCTTCTCTTACATGGCTTCATGAGGAAATTGTAGCTTCTTATATGAGCCTTAGTCCTATCTAATTATCAGTTACTGAGAGTAACCTCTGTTCTCTTTGAGTGTCTGGATACCTGGCACTTCACTTTTTGATGGGAATTAATTTCTTAACACTTAGATCCCATACTTCTCTGCCTCCTTCAGTTTTCTACCCAAGAGACAAAAAGAGAGATTATTGAATGAGTATTCACATCAGTTACTTGACTGACAAAAGCACTCAGTGAGAGACGAACACACAAGAAGAAAAAACAGCGCTGAGATTTCAAGTCAAGGAAAACTGTTAAAAAACACTCACTTTTATAAGAATATAAACTTTCTCATTTCTTTTGATTCTTGCAAGTATGTCATGGCATCACTTGATTTGCAAATTATAATGGTGTATTTCAAAGACAGAATGATGCAAAAATGTCTTTTGCTTTGATGATCTGGTAGATGACTGCCATTTTGATCAAAAAGAATAGTAGGGTTATAATAACTCCAAAGAGGAAACAGAGAGAAATTTAATTAAGTCTACAGTATGACTATTCCCTGACAACTTCTTATACAAAATAGGAGCAGTCACATCTGAAAATAGACCACTTCTTTGAGCTGCCTGAGCAAAGAGCAGAAAAATTTGTGTCTTAGAAATGGTAGGAAACACCTCTTCCACAAGACCTCAGAACAAACATCCTTAGAGGTTTCAACACAAGTTGTGACCATTAAAGATATTGATACCTATAATGCAAAATTATCATATCACCATGTCTTAAGAAAAAACTCACTGAACCTTAAAAGATGCACAAGTACATTTCAGCTGGACAGTGCACATACCGTAGACATATGACATAAACAGGATATAGCAAACACTTTTGCCACTGCTTTTCAAAAATGCTGTCATTTTACATGATTGGCAAAATTCAGACTATGAGGACTTCAGCTGGCTAAGGGGATAGGAATGCTTCTGTTGGCTCCAAGAAAAAAACCAGAAGTTTCAGACAAGATATGTACAAGAAGAAATGAGAAGAACACTGGGGCACTTCAATCTCATTACTTTACAGATAACGCAGGGGCATTCAGGAATAAACATAAACCTAAGAGTCTTTTAAAAGATTACCACATCTGCAGGGAAAAAAATTTAAAACCTTACTGGTGATTAAAAATCTATTGGGGGGTGGGGGCTTTTTGCTCAGCAGCATCTCATCCATTTGTAATGCAAACATTCAAGAGAACGTATGCAAGGAGAGAAGACTGTACAGAAGAACTACAATACAGTACCATACAGATTTTCTGGGACAGGTATTGTCTTCCTGATTGTCATACACAAGAAATAGCACAACAGTTTCTCATGTGGCTGTTTCCTGAGCGATGTAATTACATAAATATTGTATGATCTCAGGGTCTTAACCTGTCATAACTACCTCCCTGTCATTCCACTTGTAAACAAAAGCTGAAAATGCCCAAAGCACCTGAATAAAAAAAACCTTTACAAACAAAAACTAAATATACATAGAATGCAAGTGACCAAACACCCTGAAGCACAGGAGCTAAAAAGTATGATGCATAACAGCACATCTGAGTATTAGCTATTAGTGAAGAATGACAAAACAAGCAAACCCACAGAAAGAACTCTCTAGCTAGGCAGCATTGCTAAAGTAGAGGTCATAAGTGTAACTACTGATTTACCTGAATCAAAAATCAACATTGACACAGAAATTTTTAACTGTTTTTTCACATTTATAACAGGAAGTTCACTAGCATCTTCACAAACCACTCATAGCCTTCAGTGGATGTAATAGTTTGATAAATTGAAGCAAAAAATATTAAAACAATAATAATAACACAAAACAATAAGTACACAATCTAATCAGCCATTAAGAAACTTAGGAAAATTTGCAAACTATAAGAATTGCATATAATCCCCTTAAAATTTAAAAATATACACATCACATGATTTAAATTTTTCAAATTAAGATTTGAGATCATCTTGCCTCTGAATACAAGTTGTCTACATTGGGCAGCGAAGGCTGACTTCTTAAGAAGAGGGCAGCAAAAGGTTCAATACCTTCTAATGAATGATGACTTCCATCATGTGCTCCACCGGAACTTTTTCCAACAGGTATTTTAGTTCCCTCTGCACTAGTAGCCATTCTTCTATCAACTACTGATTGTTTATCATTCACCTTGGAAACCTACAATCACACAGTCAAATATTATTATTAAAAAGAGAAACAACAGCAAATATAAGATGACATTATTTAACACTAAGCAGATTAATAATTATAATAGTTGTAAAATCATCTAGATTAATTTCTCAATTGCTTAGCCCCCAATAAACCACAATGGTTTTTACTGCTGCTCTTTATACATGAAGCAATTTATTTTTTAAAGATGAATATCATTAGACATTGAAAAGGGAAAATACTGCCACTTGGAACAGTGAGTGTCCAAAATAAGCTTTAATTTGTGTCCTTTCCCACTATTTTTGTTTATATAAATCCATATATATATAGGGGAGTTTTTATGATAAAACTCTTATGTTTTTATCCTCCCTTACCAATCCATTCCCCACACTTTTGTTGCATAATATTGCATCAGGAAGTCATCTTCCAGAGAATTCTGGTCCTATTTTTCTCTAAATGACTGTCACTCTAACTACTCAGTCTGTCAGTTAACATGCAGCATTGCTTGGAGTGTAATTTGAGGAAAATTACCATTTCTTCCCAACTTAAAACTATCAGACACAAAAAGTTTCTTCTGAAACAATGGTACTCCAGCACCTACTGCTGTCTGCCCCTTTATATAAAACTGAAGGCATCTTCAATTCATAAATAACACTGCAAGATCAAAAGCTTAGTTCTGTAGATTCTAAAATAAATTACTTTTTCACTGTATTGATGCACATCACTTATATCTACAGAGCATTACAAAAATACTTACCTGTAATTTAACTCTGTTATGTGATGGTCTTACAGTGCAACAGTTTGGAATCCCAATCCAGAAGTGACGAGTTTTGGGAAAGGTGCAACTATGCAGTCTGCCTTCTTTCAACCGGAGCAACAGTATTTGAGCACTATAAAGATTTTTAGCAGTCCACATTTTCTTAAAAGTGACGTCTGGATGCAGATGATGTGGTAACCAAACCGATACTCTGTTTTACCATACAGTTACAAAGGAAGCGTACGTGAGCTTGGATACCATAGAAGCACACTGCAGAAACCTTCTTCTAGGCATAACCTGTTTAAAAGACATTAGGGATACTGTCACAAGGTCCTCTTCGCACCCCTCTCACTTAAAACACAAACGCATTAACAGCTGATTCACTCCACAATGGAACAGTTCCAGGCAGAACTTCTGTGCAGTAGCTCCTCTCTCGCTTTCACCAGCCCTATCTGCCACCCTGCCGTTCACCGCTGACCATGAAGTCAATCACTGAGAAACAGGAAGGATAAAACCTGTAAATAATGCAAAAAGCAAGCGAACAAACTGTCCCTTATCATTAACAACGTGAATACAATGTCCCCTTCAACTTCTGCTGAACAACGCGGAAGGAGCGATCCTGCAACTTCAACCAACTTGTTCACAAAAACAAAGTACCGATGTCAGCATCCTAGTAAGAAAAACCCACAGCAGGATGGCTGGTATACGGCAAGCCTTGTGATTTTCTATGCTACAAAGATATAGTAGGGGTGACTCAAAAACCCAGTTTAAGACTGGTTTACACCTTGCAAGACTTTGACCATAATGTGCGGAAATAACCTCGTTTAGACGAAAAGGTTCCCGACAGACCCCAGTGCAAACAAAACCAGTGAGACCCTGAGCAGGCCAGGTCTGCCACTCTGCCAACTTCCAACTTCATCCTGACCAAGTAACCGCGTTACAGGTTTTCTGTTTCATCTCGTGTGCTCTGAGATCAGGTCTACGGCGCAACTGGGTCTGTCCTGCCCCCACTCCCGCCCAGCAAACAGCCGACACAGACAGGCAGCGCAGAGCTGGAAGGCGAGACAAGCTCTTTAAAGGCAACGAGCGCTGCACGCCCAGTGACAACCACGGGCGCACAGCGCCAGGGGCAGTCGCGGCGCCTGCCAAAGCTGGGAACTCAGAGCAGGCGGGCGATCCCTATGCAGGACACGTCCCTTCGGAGCCAATTACCCCAACCCCGACCCCGGTCTCTCCCTGTCTGCCTCCCCGCAGGCTTCAGCCCCAGCCCCTCCCGGGGGGGTTCTACCGTGGCCTACGCGAGGCAGCGGCGGCACCGTGCCCGTCTAGTCCCCACCTCCCCCGTCAGCGCCCCCGGAGACAGCCCCAGGGGCGGCAGCGGCGGCTACCAGCGGCTCGGGGTCGGGACCAGGAGGTCGCGGGAGGTCGCGGCGGTCCCTCCCGGCCCCGGCCCTTGGAACCGCCCCCGGCACCGCCCCCCGCGCGCCTGCGCAGCGCGGGACCGGCGAGTGCGGGGACGTCGCGGCGCTCGGAGCGCCCAGAGCGCTGCGCTGAGGGCGGGCCGTGCGCGGGGCAGGCGGCTGCGGGAGCGCCGTGCCCGGGGGAGGCAGCCCTATCCCGCCTTTGCCGCCCGGCCGGAGGCCGCTGGGTGTGGGTGTGCCGGCAGGTCCGGCCCGGCCCGGCCCTTCCGGGGGCTGCGGCTGCGGTCATGTGGGCGGGTGTCCACACCCCCAGCACCGCTCCTGTGCTGCGACGCGCGCCGTGTGGGGGTGTCGGGGGGGTGACGGGGTGACCTCGGGGTGGTAATAAAGATTAAATTTCTCTCTCTCTCTCTCTCTCTCTTTTTTTTTTTTTTTTTTTTTTTTTTTTTTTTTTTTTTTTTTT